CCCAAGAAATGGAACCACTCCCCGCTCAAGGTACATAACGTGACCCTCTGGCGGTAGCAATCGATAACAGCCCGGTATGACGATAGCCAGTCCATACCCAAAATAACATCAAAACCCTTCATGGGCATAACTACAAAAGGGAACGCAAGTCTATAGTCAGCGACCTCTATATCGCAACCTCTACAACCTTGTTTCAAGATCAGTTCACCCCCAAGAGGTGACACTACACATATAGGAGATGCCAATTGTGCTAACTCCAATTCCAAAACAGATGCAAATGCAGCAGATACAAAAGAATGAGATGCACACGTATCAATCAACACATTAGCAACCGAGTTGCAAAGCAAAAAGGTACCTCTCACCACTGATGGAGCCGGTACTAGATCCTGCGCAGTAACAGCATACACGCGCCCTGTAGGCCCCTGGTCTACCAGCTCACCCCTCAGAGCATACGACTGCTGTACTGACTGGGATGATGAAGCTCCCGGATTGGCCCTCGAGGCCTGCACAGACTGAGCTGGCTGAAATCCCTGCGTCTGTCTAGAGCCAGACGCTCCTGAAGTGGCACTCAACTATGGGCAGAACCTCTTCAGGTGCCCAGGCTGTCCACACTGATAACAAGATAAGGGCTGCCCCCTGCCCAAACTCTGATTCTGCGGTCTAGCTGAAGAAGAAGCAGCTCTCTGACCTCCGCCCTTCCGTGGGCAAACCGTAGACTTGTGACCCAGCTGGCCACAGGTGAAACAAGTCAAACCTCCCTGATTACCTCTCCCCGAGCCTGCACTCGGCACCGGAAAGGTCGATCTAGCAACTCCACCCTGAGATTGCTGAGGGTTATAACCCCTCTGTCTCCTGCCTTCACCCTGACCCTCCTAGCCCCTCTTGGAGCCTCTATGTTTCTCCTCATCTTCCTCCTACGTCATGAGCTCCATATGAGCTGCAGCATCCACTAAATGTCTATACTCTCGGATGTAAGACCCACCAACCCTCAACTTGAGGCCCCGACTCAACTTCCGCTCAAACTCATAGCAACGGCGTTCTTCGGACGCCACCAACTCAGGAGCAAACCTGGACAAACTAGTGAATGTGGGCTCAAACTCTGCCACAGACATGCCCTGCTGATTAAGCCGGCTAAACTGATCCCTCAGCTTCTCCCTAGCCATTGCAGATAAAAACCTCTCCTGGAAAGCATTCACAAACGCCTCCCATGTTCCACCAACACGAGCCTTCTCGTACTTCCACCATTGACCCGCATCTCCCTTCAGCTGGAAGGATGCTAAGGTCACTTTCAATGCTCCGTCCTCGATGCCAAGCATCTCGAACGTCTTACTCATTTGTTCCAACCACTCATCAGCCTCCAGTGGTTCCTTTGGATCTCCAACAAACTCGTCCGGATTAGACCGGAAGAACTCCCTCTTCAAGAAAGAAGGTCCTGCCTCAGCTGCCTGATTCCCCGCTTTGAGAATACCCAAAGCCCTTGCTATCTCTCGTGCCAAAGCACTCATAGCCTACTGACCTGCTGGCTCGACCACATTGGCCTGGCCAACTCCCTCCTGCACTGCCGGAATCTCATCCGGTAGAGGTACTTCCTGCCTCGCAGGCCTACCACGCCTAGCACCTCTTCCTCGTCCTGACATCCTAATAAAGATAATACAGAATGTTAGCACATTCACAAATGTGCCAGAACTAAACACTCACGTCCTAACGCATGGACAACTGAAATTCACTCCATGTAAGCACATAAACATATAAGCACTTACGAATTTCATTTCCGGATAATGATAGTCCCGAGGCGTTACTAGAGTTCCGGTTAGAAACAGCATTGATCAAGTGACTTTCCAACAAGACTCCCAGCAACCCAAGGATCCAATCAACATCCAAGAAACTACATTCCATACCCACATAGTCACATAAGCATGTTATCAATTTAAACACATAAGCGTGTGAACACTACATCTAAGTCTCTATCAAGCGAGACAAACCCATTGTGATACTAATCACTTCCCACGTACCCAAAGTATTTGAACCCGATACGCTCTGATACCAAGTTGTAACGCCCTCAAAATAAAAATATTAAACCCATCAATATAGACATACATTGACATATAAAAGTTCCACATTCTTCTATTCATCAGAGTTTCATTACAAAAAGTATTACATGTTAACGACAAAAGCAAATGCCCTAAAGGCTTACAGCTTTCCAAGTTAACACTTGGATACAACAAAAGAGCACTAACTCATTTACACATTAAGCCCTTGGCTTGAATTTACATGTAATACATCAAAAGGGGAAAGACAACAAAAGTCCGTCAGCCTCAAGCCTCCCAAGCTATGTCCTTGGAGGTGGCATGCTACCTGTACCTGAAAATGATATTCCCATATAGGGTGAGCCACAGCCCAGTAGACATATACTAAACCAAATTTGAACAATGACTAAAAGATTAGCAGTTTGATAGATGGTCAACACCGATACTTTCTCTTATCATACTTTACAGTTTCATGACATACAAGTCCATGTTACAATCCATTTTCCAATTCCTTTCAATTTTCAATTTATAACCCTGGCTCAGAACCTGGCCAAACAACTCATATGAGACAGTAACTCATATTAAACACTTTCCCATTTCATAATATATAAGCATACAAGCCATATCATCACTTCCATAGATATGCATAAGAGCACAATCTCACTTCCAAAGACAAGCATATAAGCTATGTCAACACATCACTAGATAAGCATATGAGCTCTATCTATGGAGTCCATCCCCTATCTTCTCCAACACAACATCCGGTGTAGAGGTCCATCCCCTATCATCCCCTAAACTGTGGGGTACATCCCCTATCTCCTCCAACACAACCCAATGCATATAAACAATAATTATACACATCATCAACCAATACATAGCATTTAATGTATTCATTCAACCGTCATACTCAATGACACACTGCGGTGATTAGTTTTAGTTTGCCTAATCATCATGCATTGTCCACAACAATCAAGACTATCCTCCACCGATAGCCCAAAGCAGTTATTTCTATACAGAAAATAAGTGCAACAAATGGATATATAAAATCAACATTTCCAACTAGGTGAGCGATATAAAATCCAACTACACCCTTTAATCCCATACATTCCCAATCTCAACATTTCCAATTCAATTCCTCATTTCTCACAATTAATTTTACAAATTAATTAGCCAATGTAATTAGGGCATTTTCCATAATTAACATTACAACCCTTAGGTTCCATTTTCATTAATGTTTTGACATTAATTCCACTTTTCCATGCCAAACATGCATCTATGCTTTTATATAGTTAAAACCCCAACTTTGTGAATTTGTACAAAAGTCCCAAACTTTCACAAAATTACCAAACCAACTCCAACATCTCAAACCACTAAAATTTAAAGACAAAACCCATAGTAAGGAGTAGGTTATCCCCACCTCAAATTCGGAGCTCAAGGGAAGAAGATGACGAAACTCAACGTCCTCCAAAACTCGAAATTTTTGGATCAAAGTAAAGCCCTCGACGATCAACCCAACTTTTGTAAAGACGAAAGGTGAGGAAAACACCCTAGCTAGATCAATACCTAGAGAGAAGTTGAGGTTCTAGTGAGAGGAGCTCTCAAATGGAGGTTTTGAAAAGTAAGAGAGAGAAAAGGAGTTGAAAAAGTGATCCAAAAGTCGGATCTCGGATTTATATAAAAGTCGCCCCGCTCGAGCGTCAACAATCCCGCTCGAGCGGCGGATACACACTTCCAGAACTTTTACAGAACCAGGTCTCCGCTCGAGCGTCAACCCTCTCCGCTCGAGCGTCACACACAACATCCCGCTCGAGCATCAAAACTCCCGCTCGAGCGCCCAACACTACAGAGGAGATACTGGAAGACGGAAAACTACGCTCGAGCGTCGAAAACCCCGCTCGAGCGGACAGACAACAACGAAGGGCCCGCTCGAGCGTCAAAATCCCCGCTCGAGCGTGAAGGCCAAAATCTGGGCAATTACTCTTGGTTTCTAAGTCCAACCAACCTGTATCAAACTCGCCCAACACAACCCAAGACTCAAATGCAAGGAGTAAAGGATGTAAACAAGATATACACGACAACCAACTCCACGGAACCTAAGTCCGGATACAACAGTTAAAGAAAAGGGAAAACCGGGATCGCTATAAATATCGTAGAAAGTTTGAGGATTTGGGAGACATATGTCCTACACCCTTATCTTTATCATATCCGGTAGACACTGATACTTTAGAAGAAGTAGAAGAGTCCATGTAACAGGGAATGCCCTCTGCAATCTTTCTTTTCTTGTGGGCAATAATAGATAAAAGATATTGGAAATGGTCACTTCTAAGTCTTAGCCGCCAAGTTTTATCAGTCTCATTCCTACATTTAATTTTGCTAAATTTATACGCCACAGATTCTTATTCTGCCAAAGCTTTAGATCCTATTTTCTAACTTTAAAATAACTTATTTGTTTTCTCAAACTTAAATCATGTTGCTAACCATTTAACGAACAACATAGGAATTCTCTTGGGTATGCTTAGTAAGTTAGCCAATTCAAAAAATAAGGTGTTTAGTACCAATTTTTTGATGATGTAAAGCCTATTTGCTATATTTATTTGGTATGTCGGAGGTGAGATTGTATGCTTTGGCCAATGGTCTATATTAAATGTTCAAGCTAATCCTGTCTTATTCTTCACTGGTTTGTGAGGAATATATGAAGTGATTGATTTCATGGAGTGCATTGTCAGTGTGATAATTGCACTGTTGGCTTGAAGTGAAACTTCTCTTTTTGGATGTTAGAGAAAAGCATTGGCTACAATTTGTTTGATTTTTGAAAATAAGATTCCTATCTGAAGGATGATTGATCTGATAGTAGTATGGGAAATTTGACCCAATGAGCAGTTATTTTGCTGTGGGCTAGCCTTTCATAAGTACATTGTCTTCTACATTAATATTATTTTTGAGCCAATAAATTTTATGATTACATGCATCTAGGCAGTCAAGTTGGTTGCTGGAGGATATTCCATGCGAAGAAAAGAGATATATTCACTTGCACTAAGGAAATTTGGGAAGCAGGTTAACAAGGAGAACTGATGCAGATTATATGGTAATTCTCACTGCTTTTATGACTTCTTTTTTCCTGTCATTAAAGATTTCAAAGTTCATCTCTCTACAATTTTTGCTGGCACTTGATCTTTTTGGTTGTTGCTGGCAACTGCTGCACGCAAATCCCTTTCTCTTCTCTTGTCTTCTACATTGCCCTTTGTTTTTTGGGTAATGCATGGCCATATGGGTGTTTAAGGTGAAAATAATGCAAAAATAGTTAAAATTCCGATGCACTTTCCTTGTATTCTTAAACATTTTTACACATTTCTATACACTTTTTATACATTTTCTACACTTTTTACACATACATTATGACTGATGACCACCCATTGGTTGGTTATTAGCATATCTCTTGTTTTCTTTATATATGTCAAAGGGCTCTCCTTTTTTCTATTATATTCTCTTGCTCCTCCATCTTTGTTATATTGTATTCTCTCTCCTTTTTTACTCTTATATGTTTAAATTTTTACTTTCATCTGTTTTCAGGTTCTGCTTGTGTACATAGGGTTGAATTAGTCACATGCTAAACTGCATTCCATAGTTACCTGCAGAACTTTTCCTATCCCTTGACAATTTTATTATTAGCTTTGGTCTATGAAGCACCGACACACTATCATCTCATGTATTATTGTCCCACATGTCTGAGACACATACTTCCGAACATGTCACCGACTTGTGTTTGAGAAGCGAAAAATAGTATCCAATTTTTCTTTTTTATTTTTTTAAATTATGGACATGTGATGGACAAGACCAGACACATTGCCGGACACTTGCTTTTATTTATTTTTTCCCTCTAAAAGAAAGAAATTTATTGAAAGAAACTGACCATGGATAAAACAAACTCTCGTTGCAATTGATGCCAGTGTTATTGGAAACCTAGATCGAAGGCTTTAACAACCACAATTAAAACCGTTGTTGAAGCCCTAGATAGAAGCACCCATCATGATTGAAGCCCTCGCCGAAGCCCCCATTGCGATCAATGCCCTAGAATGACCACACCTAATTGTGATTGAAGCCCTTGCAAAAGGCCCCATCAGAATTGATTTCCTAGACTGATGACACCTCATCAAGACCCAAGCCCTCAGTGGAGGGGAGGCTATAGTTGCTCGAGTTGAGCTTGCAGAGACACATCTAAAGACAAAATGTACAAATCGTAGAAGATGAGTTGTGAAAGGGAGAAGTCAAAGCGATCGTTTCGAATATTTTTTTTTTATGTTGTAGACTCATGTGCCTTGTTGTCTTTGTTAATGTAGTAAATCCTCGACCTGGCCAATTTTTGGCCACATGTTAGAGAATAAAAATTCAATTGTATAATGGTTATTTTAGACAAAAATTATTTATTGAAAAAAGTGATTTTATTTAATTTATATAAAATTATGTATGCATATATAAAATAAAATTTTAATATATTATTTGACGTGTATGTGTCCTACTTTTGGAAAAGTGCTCTACATGTTCTAGTCCTACTTCTGGAAAAATGCCGTATCTGCTTGTCTGTGTCGTGTCCGTGTCCCGTACCCATATTTTTGTTTTTTCTTAGGCTTTGATTTGTGACTCCTGGCAGTACTATGGTCAATAATTTGGATGGTCTAATGTTAGATTAGTTCTAGTTGATACGATTTTTTGGTGATTTTGTGCTATAACACATTTCATGTTTCTTAAATATAATTGTTAGTCTTCCATTCATCAATGACACATATTAGATCTATTTAGATGACACAAGTTGATGTCAAAAATAAATTTTACTTTTTAGTGTACCCCTATAGGGGTCTTGAGAAACAACATAGTGCAATAGTGCCAAAATTCCTCCATAATAAACATGGATTATATTAAGGAAGAAGGAGAGAAACTCCAAGGATCATTTGTAATAGTTTATCTTCCTACATTAAACACTTGCTTGTAGAAATAATTTTGTTTTGGGTTTTTATCATTCACAATTTTTTTTTTTTTTTAAATTGTGAATTCATGATATATTCAGGTTAAATTGGAGGGAGACATTGACCAAGGTGTGGAATACTACAAGAAGGCTCTGTATTATAATTGGCACTATGCTGATGCCATGTATAATCTAGGCGTTGCATATGGGGAAATGCTGAAGTTTGACATGGTAAATTTGTAGGAAATAAAACTTTTGTGTCTCTCTATCTCTCTGCTTTTCATGTCTTTCATTCTGAAGCAAACTTCACATGAATAAAACTGATCTCCTCAAACATTATTCTTTACTAGAAAGTACATTATCTTTATTTTATTTTTTTTCCTTTTTGCAATCATCGTTCATTTTCTTCCTTTCTATTAGTTGCTTTAATGAGAAATTTGATGCATTTCAAATCTAGAACTTGAGAATATTTATTTAATATCTGTGTAGGCAATTGTGTTTTATGAACTTGCTTTCCACTTCAATCCTCATTGTGCAGAGGCATGCAACAATTTAGGAGTGATATACAAAGACCGTGACAACCTTGATAGAGCTGTGGAGTGTTATCAGGCAAAATTATGATGCTTATGTGCAAATTTTAAGTCTCAAATCATTGTGCGCTTGATATTATAATAATTATTTATTCTTCTGCAGTTGGCTTTATCCATCAAACCAAATTTCTCATAGTCCTTGAACAATCTTGGTGTCATCTACACTGTCCAGGTTCAGTACCTATACCCGTTCAAAAAAATCTTTTTTTTGGGAAGGACAATATGCAGCTGCTGATCGATTTTACATTTTATTTCTTTTTACAAGGTAAAATGGATGCTGCTGCAAGCATGATTGAGAAAGCTATTGTTGCAAACCCTACATATGCGGAAGCATGTAATAACTTAGGTCTCTTTGTTTCTCTCTCTCACCATGTGGTCATCATGTTTTTGGCATGCTGTTACTTCCACTTTTTGTTAACGTGGTAGTTATTGCTGCTCTTTTGGTTGTCATTGGTATTATTGGTGTTACTTGTCGAGGGGGATAAAAAAAGATTGTATTTGAGAATGTTGCTTCTCTACCAAAATTCAAGGTTACATAAATGTAGTTTTCATTTGATACTGAAGTTAATGGTTTTATTTTTTATTGGGATTGCATTTCACAAACTTGAATTGGCTCTTTTACGTTGTTTTCGTTGTTTTCATTTTTGGCTGAAAGGGAATTTTTGTGACACTTCTTTTGCGTTTGTTGATTTTATGGGAGAGTTATCTTTGGTGGATGGATTATAGTTGGCTTTTTGTAGACCCCTAGTGTATGGATGGAGGATGTGCCCCTTTGTTGTCACTTTATTAATTTACCTCAAAAAGAAAGAAAAAACAAAAAAACAAAAAAGATATAAGAAGAAGAAGAAGAGAAAAAGAATGCTTGCTGACACTGCATTTGAAAAATCAATACTACATATTGTGTCTATTGATTCTGTTTAGTGGTGATGTCTAGTATCCTAGGTTTTCCAGTCTTACACATTTTTATTATTTGGACACAAAAATAATGTCCTGTTTTGAAATTCTCTCTCTCTCTCTCTCTCTCTCTCTCTCTCTATGTTTTATTATCGATTAGTTTCTTAAAATTCTTTTTGTATAGGGGTTCTTTATAGAGATGCCGGCAATATAACTCTAGCCATTAAATCTTATGAGCAATGCCTTAAACGAACATTTTTTCATTTGTTCTCAGAGGTTTACCCTTCTAACATTTTTTCAGTTTTGATTAAATCATTTTTATGGGTTTCTAGTTCTAAATTTCTTATGCATTTTATATTTTTAATTTTTTCAGTCATCATAAATCTACAAAACCTACATTGCAGAACTAAAGGATGCGAGGATCCCATACAAAGATAGCCCAGAATTGTTGGGGCTTTTATTGGAATTTTCAAGTTCAATTCCTTCTTTATTTGATCAATGGAAGGTAAGAAGCTCTTTTCTTTTAGCTGTTGTATCAGCATCAATATTCTTGTGGGCTATTGATGACCCTATCTAGTGCTGAAAAATGATAAATTTTGGAGCTTCCTCTATTGAGTGCAATTTGGTAATGCAAAATTAGTTACTACTTAAAGAGTAAAATCCATTAAAGAGGGGGTCTAATTTTTAAGATAGAGAAACTTGACTTTGCACAAAATGATGAACATGCTAAATGGAATATGATTTAAATTCTGATTTCAAGTGCCAAATTAACCATTACATTTTGAAATTCTACAAATTTGGATGCTGATAGTGTTTAGTAATACTAAAATGGCACTAAAATTATCAATGTTGTCAAACATGATGTTAATGTTATGTCAGGTCCTGCGATTTCGGATTTTATGTTGCACTTATATTTAACGTCCCTCTAGCTAGTGTTTTGATTGATTGCTTTTTGTTGCACAGCCAAATATTTCTTGATATGTATGTTAAATCAGTTCTGAATGCAAAAGAATAGCCAGCAATGGGTCTCAGTGAAGCTTTCCTTCCACTGTTTACTTATTTGTTGCATGAAGATTTTAAAAGTATTGTGGTCCCATCATCGGTTAAAAGTAAATTTGCATCACGAGCATCTATCCTTATTAGTGTAGATTTACAAATTTGAACATACTAAATTCTAAATATAGAATTATTGTTTAACTACAATAATAGTGATTGCGTTGAAATTCAATTTTTGTTACCAAAAGAAAGAAAATATGGCTTCATCTTTATTGCTTCCACTCGGTAACACACTACAATAGTGATTGCCTTGTTGCTTAGATGTTCTTCATCTTTAATTCTGCTGGTCTTCTACTGGTCTGCTGGTCTGCTGCTGCAGAATTTTGCTGTGCTGCTGCTGCTGCAATGTTGCTGTGAAGCGGCTGCTACTAGATGCTGGTCTACTGCAAATTTGGGTTGTTGTTAGTTTCATGATTTCATTTTGTTATCTACTATTTTTACTATGGGTTCACAATTTGGATGTATTTGAGTATTTTAGTGAGTTTACCCTTTTAGGTTTTATACAAGGCTTCCAAAAGCGTATTTTTCAGCAATGTTTTTTTGCCTACACATCAACTTAAGGTGATTTAATATCAATGTTATTAGTTTGTAATAGTAGTGCCTGAGGGATGCCTCTTGTAAATATGTAAATTTTATAAAAAAAAATGTGATTTTCAATTTTTTTTGCCGCTACAAATTTGTCGTTGCCAAAACTAAAGCTTTATCGACAACCAAATCGTTGGCAAATGGCAACATTTACCGACATAAATGTGTCGCTAAAAGTTAATTTTGCCCACTCATATTGTGTTGGTAGAAGTGTATAAATTGCCAACGCCAATTTGTCGTTGCCAAAAGTAAAGCTTTAGTGACAAACAAATCGTCGGCAAATGGCAACATTTACCGACGTAAATGTGTCGCCAAAAGTTTACTTTTGCCGACACATATGTTGTTGGTGAAAGTATATTTTTTGCCCATGCAAATTTGTGTCGCGAAAAGTGCCACACAATCATCATATTTGAATGACTTTTACCAACGCAAGGTAAATTGCCGACGATGGATGGAGGCTTTTATCGACGACTATGTTCGTCGCTAAAGGCATTACTTTTACCAACGCAATGATAATTTCGTCGGCAAAAACTTTTGCCAACTCACTTTTGCCTACGGGTTGCCAACGTAGCTTTGTGTGTCGGCAAAACTCTTTGCCAACGAATTTTCCCTTTTAGCAACATATTTTGTTGCGTTGCGAAAAATGCAATTTCTTGTAGTGATATTGTTTTAGGCCTTGATTTCAACTGAAAAAAGTCTTTTTTTTAAGTGCTTTTGATGATTGTTTGAGGCCTTTTTGGTGTTAGGGGTGTACAACCCTCTTGTATGCCTTGTTTGGTCTTGTTTTGTACCATGCTTTAAGGCTTTTGAGCTAGTCTTTGTTTGACCTTCTAGACACTGAAATCCAGTGGATTTTCAGTGGTAAGCATGGGGTTTTCAGGCCTCAAATCAAAGGGGGTGACCCCCCTCTTTTCTTGTTTTTGTTTGCTTGTATTATTGGCCTATTAAAGGAGCATGTATCTCTTTACTTTCAAGGTCTGGTTCAGGCCCTTTTTTGTGACTTTTAGGACCTGCCTTAAGTCTTTCCATGGCTGGTTTGGTCACTCCTTGCATGCTTATTGCACTTGTAGTGTAAATCCTCTTTGCTTGCCTTGTTAGCCTTACAAAGTACCATGTCTTTCTTGCATGTGTTGGCTCTATTTCAGCAGATTTTTGGTGATTTTTTACCATGCCTTAGATCTATTTTGGGTTGGTTTTTTCACTCCATGCACGCCTAATACACTTGTAGTGTAAATCACATAAACTAGCTTTATATGCTTCACGCTTTGACATGTCATTTTAGCTTGTTTTGTTTCCATTTCAATAGGTTTTTGGTGATGTTTTGCCATGTCATACCTCTGTTTTGGCTTGGTTTGGTTAGTCCTTGCATGCTCCATGCACTTGTAGAGCATTTTCATGAATTAGCCTAGTATGTCTCATGCTTTAACATGTCATTCTAGCATGCTTTTGGCTTAACTTCAGGAAGACTTTGTTCATGTTTTACCATGTTTAAGGTCTGATTTTGGTCATTTTAGTCATGCACGACTTGCTTTGTATAGCTATAGTACATTCTAGCTTGTTAGCTTTATGTATCAAGTCCACTAGCATGTGTTACTTGACCTATTTCAATGCTTTGGCATCACTTGAAATGTTATTTCAGTCCATGTAATGTGGTCACGCACTTGCATTTGACATGTTATCAATGCCTTGGAGAGTTTGTGTTTTGTGTCTCATGAATGGATCATTGTGCATGCCTCTATGCTTAGGTCTTTGGGATGCCATCTCAGCGGGTTTTGGGGGTTATTATGCCATGATATAACTCTGATTTTTGTTGGTTAAGTCATCCCATGCTTGGCCTTAATAGGTGTAGTGTAATCCACCTTATTTGCCTTGTATGCATCATGCCCCATGCTCACCATACTAGCTTGTTTTGGCTTACTTCCATGCATGTTTTGGTATCACTTTAACATGTTTTAGGACTGTTTTGGGTTGCCTTTGCCATATCCTTCATGCTTTGTATAGCTGTAGTGTAATTGGCCTTGTTAGCTTTGTGTTTCGTTGACTCATGCATGCTATCTTTGAGCTATTTAGATGATTTGGCATCACTTAATACTTCATTTCAGAACCTATAGCATTGTCATGTTCCCACTTCAATCATGCTTTAAGTGCCTTTGAGGGTTGAGCATTTGTTACCTTGTTCTGGCTTAGCTTGTATGCTTGCATGCCTAGGTCTTTGAGCCTTCATCTCAGCATGTTTAAGTCTTCATTTAGACCTAATTAAGCTCTGTCCATGCTTAGTTCATGCACTTGTGCCATGTATTGCATGCCTCCTTTGTAGTCTTCTTTGATAGCTCCATGCTTTAAGGACCTTCGCATGCTTTACTTGTGTTGTTTAAATGATTTGGCATCGTTTATCATCTCATTTCAGTGCACTTAGTGTTGTTACACTTCCATGCTTTTCACTCTTTAGGTGTTCTCGAGAGTTACACCTTTATGCCTCAATTGGTGAGCCAATTGGCATGCATGCTTGTATGCGTTTTCGGTGCCTTCATCTTAGCATTATGGCCACTGATTTGGGCATAGCTGAGGTCTGCCCATCTTGGTTTAAGTCCATCTTTGCATGTCGTAGCATGCTTGTCACCTTGTACGTTGTTGCATGCTTGGTTTATCGCATGTTTGCATGTCTAGGTTGCTTTGCATTGTGTATGCTTAGTTGTTGCATGTATTAGTATTGTGCATACCATTAGCCTTGTTAGGTTGTTCATATTGCATTACATGTTTGCATGCATCGCATTGTGTATGCCGTCCTTGCATGGCATTGTTGTTTGGATTAAGTGTTAATCCGAACACGAGAAACGAGGGACGTTTCATACTTCAAGTGATGAGACATGTCTCAATTCTCGGTCACTGGCGCTCTTGATTATCCATGATAGAGTTCTAGGCATTTATGTGTTTATTTGTGCATTCATTTCTCATTGATTTGCACAAGTTAGATCTTTGGCCATCATGCATCGGGATGCGTGATTGATGGTCTTGGATCCGACTATGCCTCTCCCTTGATGTTTTGAGGTGATATGGAGTGGCATAGTGCATACATACCCTTGAGAGACCCTCTATTTTCTCTACTTTGTGCTCTGTTGCAGCTTGGTGTCACAGCACATCAGTGGCCGGCAGTGTCCTACAGATGGCCGGCACCTCCTCATCCTTGGCCGGCAGTATACCATCATTGGTTGGCAGGTGGTCGGCAGCATCTCCCCGTGGTCGGCAGGCTACTGATGCATTCCCCAGACTCGCCCAAAAGGCTTTCCGCAGGAATTCCTTGAGGACACCCTGCAGACAGAGCCTCTAAAGAGCAACCGGAGAGCTTATCGGGACAGGAACCGAGCATGCATGTTCACCTTCTTCAACTTGCCGAGGCAGCATTGTTTAATTGCTTACTTATTAGTTAGCATTTTGGTTTTGTAATTTAATTAGTTAATTTGTTAATTAATTAAGTTTTGTAATAATTAGTTGTAGCTAGTTATTCAATTCAGTTGTGTAATAATCAATTAGCTTGTTAGTTAGTTAATTAGTTGGCATGTATTATTCATTCTGACCCTCCATCGAGAGGTCCAATTTTTGTAATAAGTGTGCGTGAGTGTGTGCACGTCTTCTAACCTCATGTCTTTTTCCCTTTTACTTACCGCTTTTAATGGTTAGATCTAGGGCATATTTTCAATTAGCATCCTTATGCTTTGCATAAGTGCATCCATTCATCTATATTGCATGCACCGGGTTTGACGCATCATACTAACTGCATTGTATTTCAATTCCAATTTGAATACATGTATCAATTATAGCATTTCACATGACCTCTTAGAATAGCCGAGCCTATTTCTAGTTTCATTTTGCATGTGTTACATTAGTCATCTTAACATGAACTAGGATCATGCATTGATTTCTAACTAGTTCTTTATTTTGCCTCGGAGTACACTGTGAGTGTTTATGCTTTAGCTTACTGCATGTGTGTTAATGTTGCCATGAAAGCATGCTTGCCATGAGGCTAACTGCTTATTTGTTATAACTGCCTGAATGTCTGTGGGTGAAGGTTGGATTGCTTGAATTGGAACAATTCATTGAAATCCTGGTTTTAGCCAACTTGCGAGTAGCAAACTTCAAACCATTTTCAAACAAACAGATATGCAATGTTTTATTCCAAATTAGGCGATCTAGTCTATACTTGTATGCTGTGCGCATCACCTAGTATGATTAGCTAATTAACCGGAATAAGAGCACATGTGTTTTCAAAAACAAGATATCATGTTTAGTACAGGCCGATCTTTGATCGGGCGAGCCGGGGTGCTCATAGATGACCTTCTCCAATTGTACCCAAGTTCCCGAGCCGAGGCAACTTTGGTGATGACGGACACGTGGCCTTAGGCACCAGTCAGGGTTTCCTAAATTCCCCCAAAATAAAATATTTAAGTAGCGACTCTGTATCTGGCAAAGCAGTCCATGTTTGGCACTTCTTTACAAAAATCAGTTTTCCAAAACGATTTGCCGGATTTGGACTCTTTGGTGATTTATCGGTCTTGCATTGCACTTTGCGAGATCAGATTCAGAACCTTGACGTTTGAGTCCGAACTGTAGCATGAAGCCCACGAGGGCGCGTCTACAGAATTGCATTCAAAGACTTATCAAATGAAGAAGAACATGAAAATTCCAGTGAAGATGAAAGCTTTACCATGTTTAGTAGAAATCTCAAAAAGCACTTCAAGAAAAACAATTATGGAGGAAGAAGACACTTTAAGAAAGAGTACAACAAAGATAACAAGAAAGAACCTATTATTTTCTATGAGTGCAAAAATCCTGAGCATATGAAGATGGATTGTCCAAAATTGAAAAATCGTGGAAAAGACTACAAAAGAAACAAGAAGGCCATGGTAGCAGCTTGGGGAAGTGAAGATGAAAGCTCGAGTGATGAAGTTAAAAATGAAGTAGCCAACTTGTGTCTTATGGCTCTTGAAAATGAAGACTCTACTCAAGATGAGGTAACTATTCTTTATGAAGAACTTGAAAA